TTCTTCCTCCCAGGGAATATCCTTCCAAAATAGTGGTAGCTGATGGGAAACGTGATCTCCTTTACAAAATTTCAGCCAGCAACCTCTCAGGTGCCCTCTCTGGCCTCTTTCTCTCTAATCTGTCACTGTCCCGGATGTTCCCTTATGTGACAGCGATGATGAGTGTTTTCCCTCTTGCACACACTTTCCTCAATTTGGAGCAAACTCTCTGCCTCCTTGGCACTCATTTCTCCTCATTGCTCAGATGTTAGCTCGGGGAAATTGCAGAGCCTCCGAGATGAGATCACTTGTCTAGTATGTTCTCTCCTAGCACCGTCTCCTCTTGCTCCATGACATTTATCAGGCTTTGCTGTCACGTGGTCATGCAAGCTCTGGTCAGTTGCTGAGTGGAGTGAGAGCCCCTTGAGGGCAGGCCCTTGGCCGTGCTGCTTACCCTCGTGTGGGGGGCCCAGTCCTGTGCTAGGCTGTGGAAGATGCTCATGAGTATGTGTTGAATGACTGGTGACATGTGCGGTACCAATGATGAGCAGGCCGATTCTCTAACAACCAGGAATGAGCAGAACACGGCCAGTTTGGTCGACATTCTCTGTGCCATGTTCTCTCTCAGCTAAGAACTCGACACTTAGCACATGGCCAGTGGAATCACAGAAATGGCTGCAGTTTGGTCTGATCCTTCACCGTCCCCATGGCAGGAAGGGGCTGGGACGGTGGCCGTGACACGTACACAGATGGCTCCAAGTAGGGCAAGCATTATCCACACTTTATGAACTTTCTAAGGCTTACTGTGCTTGCCCATCCTTCCACCCAGCCCTCAAGGGGTACAGAGCAAGAGAGGGGCCAGTGGGGTATGCGAGGCACGGAGAGGAATGGCTTACACAGGGAGTGAATGAGGTGGGTCCAGGCGGTGGTGTGTGCCGTGGGGCAGGGCCAGCTGGTACCGGTTTCCTGATCAGACAGCACATACGTGTGACAGAGAGCGAGCCCAGTGGACAGCAAGCTCTTCAGATGCATGCGCCACCCCAGAACACTCTGCACCTCAGACCCCGAGGGGAGCACCACACTTTCTGGCCACGCGCTCTGTACGAAAAGTAGCTACACGTGGGTACACTCAGGCTGCTGCCCTTGTACCAGAAGGCAAAGACAATCCTCATCACGTAAACATGACCTTCCCCATCTGCTTTTAAAGGATAAACAGCCAGTGTTTAATATTACTCTGCAACCAAAGAACTGCACCCACTGTGAATCAACTTTACTTATTACATTCATTAAAATCAGGGCTTAAAACACCATACAAAAAAGAGTCATTTATAATGGCAACCCCTTCCCCCGTGGTTTCTAGCTTGTTTTCAGGAGAAGAGCTAACAGAATTTAGAATCAACAAAAGTGCAAATATTAAAAAAAGCTCTTAATCACCACAAACTGATATGATTGTTTGCTGCGATTCTCTCCTCTAAGAGATTCCCTGGCAGCTCTGGAAAAGCAGCTGCCGTCTTCCTCCCTCCCTTCCTCCTTCCCTTCCTTCCGCGTGACTGAGAAGGAAGAAGGAGACTCAGGAATAGCAGACCCTCGGGCTGTAATTTAGTGAGAAGCTCTCAGGCACAACGTTAAGTGCTACTGGAAACACTTCTGCAAATATTAACTGCGCATAAGGATTCGTGACACTTTGAGGAAAATAACTCTGCTTTCAAGCAGTGAAGATATTTAGCCGTATTTTTCACATTTTCCCCCCCAGTCTTAAATTCTAGAGAAAGGTTTCTCTCTCTCTGGTGACCTGCCTTAATGGTACCAAACAGCTTTGTACGCTGACCCTATGGGGTTTTTGCCTTCTGCTGATGCATTTCCCTCTACGCATTGCCAATTTTGTACCTTGTGCACTTTCCATTTTCAATGCGTAAAGAGAGATGGCTTGTGTATCTTTTTGCAAACACATTTATTTCTCTCTCCCTGAATGGGGAAGATTCTGCCTTTCCAGCAACGGAGAAGGAGCAAAATCAAATTGATGAATCTCAAATTCCCATAGAAGAATCAGTTTTTGGAGCGGTAACCCTCAGAGGAAAAAAAAAAACAACTTCATTATTTAATGTTCAAATGAAAGGGTACCAAATGGGCATAGTCAAAGAAAGAACGTTTTCTAGTCATTTTCCAAGAGATACACAAAAGAGAGAACTTTCTAGAAAGGCATGGGGTAACCTCAGGAGACAGTGCCAGAGCCTAGCGTGCAGAATTCTACAGTGATGCGAATTGCTATTTGCAGCAAACAAGGATGAACTCCTATCCTTGAACCCCTTCAGTTCAGCCAACCGTCTCTTTGTCTCTCCTACCATTTCAAAATGTAACAGGGTTCTACTGGGCTGCCAAAATGAAGAAGGCTTCTGAAGGTAACAGCCGGGCCAACACCAACATGGCCCCCAATTACTCCCAGGTACCACTGTAGGATCAATTTGAAATATGATGTTTTAGAAATTTATAACAAATGCTGGATTTGTTTCAACTCGGAAATAATTCTGTGTATTGTGCAACATTCAAAATTTCAGCACCACAGAATCATCACCCATGTAATTATCATCAGAAAAAACACTCTAAACAGAAGCAAAAAAGTCAATAACCAGGTCCTCTTCTTGCTTGTGGAAAGAGCTCTGCCATTAAAAGGAGGGATTGACAAGGCTTAATTTGCCAAGAATGAGTGCCCTTGGATTAATGGTCTTTAATCAGTTTTCCCAAAACAAAGATCACCTGTCATGATTAATTTAAATAAAACTGAAGCAGTTGATTTTGCCATAGAATTATTTTGCCTAAATTTCTTTACTCGTCCTATCCAAAATGAAAAACAAAACAAAATACTTATCCAGTAACAATCTGAACTACTCTTGCACACGTGTGTAAGAATATGGGAAGACAAGGGCCTCATGTGGCAGAAATGTTCAACTCTGGACTAATGACACCTCAAGGCATCATTTTAGGTATTTGTGAAGGAGTGTATTAAAAACCTCTTTTCAACACTACTGATTGGAAAGCGGGACGCCACTGAATATTTTCTCATGACTGTCTTGATTGATACCCATGTTCCCTCTAAGGAAATGAGGCTTGCCTTGTGGTAGGCTCAGCATAAGTAATAATGAGTCACATGACAACAGAACACTGCTCTCCATCTCTGAGAGCCTGTCTGAGGAAGTGATGGGGCATGCATGGGACTGTGCACTGGTGGAGAGGGATCCGAGTCTCATCTTTGAAACTTGACCCAGAACAACCAAAGTGCCCTAGCTCTGAGGCTGGAGACTGCGGCCTTGCAGCAGCTACACATCTGGAGTTCACAGATGCTCTAAGCTGTGAAACTTCTGGTTGCTTCTGCCCAGACTCCACGTATGCAATCTAGAACACTGAGTGGGTAAACAGGGCCAGATTGAGCAGAACTGAATCTTTCTACATAAAATGTAAATAGAAGTGGCCCTGGGGCCTGGGTACCCCCTTCATGAATCTTCAAAGCATCTCCACATTATGGGCCAGAGAATCTTCTAGATGTCCATCTTTAGGGGACCAGCATGCCTTGGTTACTCCCTATTCAGATGCCCAAATTAATCAAAATAGCAAGGCCTGGGCGGGATCCAGGCTGAAGGTGCCTGTACTACTTGTGATTATAAACAGGTTTGGTGCACATATTTTATTGTGGAAGCAAGACCTAGGACATGCTAAAAGAGCTCAAATAAATTCTAAGTTCCTTAGATTTGTCCAACTGGCTACAAAAATATGTATACATTGATGGCACCTCTATCTGACTTGCCTAAAATGGTCATCTTAGCATTACTTTATTTGATGCACTTGAAGTAATATAATATGCATTTGCTAATTGTCTTTTACTCCTTTGCATCAGTCTAAATTAACAAAGCTTCAAGTTTGTCATGCTGAGTCTGACGTCTGTTTTGTCTTCGCTCCAGAAAGGGATTCCATTATTTGTTTAGGTGAGACTTCTCATTGGCTTTTCAACACTCCCTCATGTTGTATTTAGGTCAGGCTGCCTTTGAGCCTGATTAGAAGTTTGTAGTTCACGTCCACACACCAGGGGCTGCCCTGGTCCACCCACCAGGAGCAGCTACTCCCCTGCTCGTGAGCACGGCTAGAATGGGACCTAGAGATCATCCTGTGCAACAGCTTGGTTTTCAGACGGGGAGGCTGAGGCTCAGGGAGGTGAAATGACCCACTTTCGCCACAGCTGGCTTTAGCCGGAGCCAGCTAGTGCTTGAACTGCAAGCTCAACACCGAGTACTTAAATTAAGATGAGGATTGGAATCAAAGGGTCTCCTGGTTCCCGCACTTCTTACAAACACAGGTCTGTTTACTCTCGCCACGTTATTACTGTATCCTGTGTCATTTCAGTGAAATGCGAGCCTGGCCTCGCGTATAGGTCAAAAAGGGCAGGGGACAGATTATCTGGTCCGCTCTAGAAAGCCATTTGGTTTACTCAGCAAATGAGGGACAATCCGTAGTGTTGTGACTCCTTCTAAATAAATGACCTCTGGTTAATTATTATCTCCCAGCTTTTATCCTTTAATCTCTACGTTTAAATTCTCGGGTGGTAATTGCCTCTAAACCTATGCCTGTAATCACCGCTGCAGACAAAAGCAAGTCTTTCTGTAGCAATTTTTTAAAGTCGTCATTTTTTTCATGTTAAACTATGACACCTAATTAGTGTAATAATAGTTTTCCCCCTTATTGGGATAATTGCACCTTTAAACATATTTTTCAGATTGGAGAGCTTAGTTGCACAGGCATATTCTAGAAGACTAAATGCAAACATGTTTTGTTACCCCATTCATCTGTGGCTTCAAATGTTACTCCGAAGGCGTCTTCTGCAACACAAATGCTAAATTATACATTACGGATCTTTCCAAACACATTAGATAAATTTTTAAACAGACCAGTAGCGATGATCATGTCGCAAACTTAAAATAAACTGAGCTACAGGATAGATTCTATAATTTCATTTAATATTGATAGCAGCTCAATTTAAATTTTGAAAAAGCAAATACCTTTAATAAATTTGGTGTGAACGATTATATATTTTGATACAACTATGGTACAGGCGTGTGTACATATATAAATCTATAGGTAGAATTATATACATTTCCATATATATGACATTTATATTTTGTCTACTCCCATTTTTCTCTTTAGTAAAACAGCAGTTTTACTGTACATAGATGTGCAATGCTACATTAAGTCCTGAGTAATTTAAGGGATCATTAATAAACTACTGTAAATTCTAGTCTTTCAGCCAAAGATCCAGTAGATTCTGTAACAAAAAATGTGAAAAAAAAAATTTAAAAATAGGCATTCAGCTATGCGCTTGTTTTGTGCTTAGCGGAGAAAGCTCAAGAATGCACAGTAGCCATTTACATTTGGGAAATTTCCTCAAATATTCAAGATTAAACAAATATCCTATCTGTATGGATTTATAGAAGTCTTAAGTGATGTCACCTACATCCAATTTGTCAAGCATGGAAGATTCCAGGCATGATTGGACCAAAATTCCCTTTTGCAGAATATGAAATTCTGTGTAAACATCGGTGGTTAGGTATTGTACAAAAGTTCTGACTCAAATGAGGGAAAAAGAAAAAAAAATACAATGAAATCATTTAAAATGCTTCTCTTGGGATGTAGCCAGCCACATGGGAGGAATATAAAAAAATAAGATATATATTTTGGTGGAAGAGGAAACCAGATGACAGTCATTTAAGGGAGGTCTGGTGAGCCGCCCGCTCACTTGGGGAGGTCCTGGGCCAGCAGGGCTCAGAGAGCCTGAGACAACCCAGCCACGTCCATTCTGGGGCAGACTCCGCTGTGACGAGAAGGAAGCACTATGGGGAAAAGGCCACATTCAACGGCAATGGGCCAGCAATAGCTGCCCATTGGGGTCCCCGTCAGCAAAGTGAACCATGCCAGTCCCAGGTTCAGGAACTCAGTAGGCCCTGGCGAGGCGGCCTGGGTGCCACCGGAGGAGGTGGGCTCGGACCAAGTGTGGGAGGCCGCCCTGCGCCGGGAGGGCCCCTTCGACGAGAAGGCACTGCATTGGTGGTTCCTCCATCCCCCCCACCCCCAGCTCTACCCCGTCCCGTGGCTGCTGTAGTCAAAGACTCCCTTCTTGAAGAACGGCGAGAACTCACAGATGGTGTGTTTGGAAAGGGTCAGCCCCACCTTGTTGATGTGCAGGGGGGACGTCGTGGATTGGAGCATCACGCTGAAAAAGTCCCTGAGGTATTTCTGAGGAAGAGACAAGAACCAAAACATGGGTTAGATGTCGTTGGGTGGAGTCAAGGAGAGAAGAAATTCCAGAAAACAACTCGCCACCCACTTTGAAAGAGCTGTTGCTGTCATTAGAAACAGCACATGGGAATGTGTGTGGCCTTGGCTGTCACCAGACCCACCCAAGGGAAGGCTGCCACCACCTCCATGAAGCAGGTGACTTTTCTGGGACTCAGAGCAACACGGCCTCGGGTCCACCTGCAGACAATGCCCAAAGAAATGCCAATGCGGTGCCGGGCACGGGGGTGGGGGGTGGGGAAGGGGTCTGCTTTACAGCAACAGTGGCACTAGTTAAGATCCTATTTTTTAACAAGTCGTTTCCCTCCAACTTGCTTACTTTTTTCCCTCAACTTACTTATTAAATAGAAAGCTGATTAAAAAAAAGGCCAGCCATCTGTACAATGCTAAATGTGCTGCTGACTAGCATTTTTAAATGGTACCATCACTGTCTGCTTTGGATCCTTCTTATAAACTAAAGGAAAAAGAAATACTGGGGACAAGCGGGTCAGTTCCAAGTACTAATATTTACAAATCATTTTGCAAAGCCTATAATCAATCAACGCAAAGAGATTCTTACTAAGGTTAACTGCTCTGAACCCCCTGCACTGCCCGCCCCCCACCCCCACCCCCGCTGCACATGGTGTGTCACAGCATTCGCTGCTTTCTCTGGCACCTGCAAGCAAAGCATGTCTGGGACAAGGATCCGAGATGCTGGGGATGGAATCAGACACGGCTGCTGGCAGGATGTATTAAAGAAAACAGGACACACAAAAATAGTTAAAATATTTCAGGTCAGGCAAATGTTATTTATAACAGAATGGGACCGAATGCAGGGCGTGGGGGGCAGGGGTGGGGTGGGTAAGCCTAAATCTTTATTACAGTCTCAGCTTGTTTCAAAAATATAAACAATCCTATCACAAACCTTGAAACTGAACATAATAATTACAGACTTTGAGTAACAAAGAAATTTGTCTGTGAAACATGGCTGAGGCCTTAGAAGGAGGGGTTCCCAATCACGGGTGATTTGCCCCAGAGAAGATGTCCAGCAGTGTCTGGAGACGTTTCCGGTTGACTGTCCCTCTAGGGAGGGGGGGCTGCATCCAGGTGCATCCTACGATGCACAGGACAGCCCGCACGCCAGCATTATTACGTTCCCAGGGTCACTGTGCCACGACGGAGAAACCCTGGCCCAGAGAAGTGGAATTCGGCCTCCTCTCTGAATTGCCAACCTGAAATTTACTTCTGAAACAAGACACTCTGCTGAAGGAAAATTCATCTGCTGTTTTCTTAAGCATAATATTGAGGATTATTAATCATTAACACTTGTATAGTAATTTATGGTTTCTAAAAATCTTCTCATTTCTTGCTGATGCAGTCATTGCACATTCTTCAAATGGATAATCTGATGAGTCCTGACACACCCATACCCGTGTGAAGCCATCCCCAAAGCACGAGAACAAAACCTTGCACCATGCCCCCAAATTTCTGAACTCACCTAATTTTATGCCGTCATCGTACTCTGCCTAGAATTACCTGCTTTTATTACTGTCAAACACATTTTCGGGTGAGGACCCTGTTGCAGAAGTGAGCAAGGCTACTAATCAGGAGAGGGGACTTAAAAACAAGGGTTTTTAACTCAGACTCTGTCTTTTTTGTTCAATATACCTAACTTACTGGCCTCACAGTAATCTCTCAGGAAAGGAGCTTGAAAGAGCAATCAGGGGGAGGCAAGAAGGTGCCAAAACCAATTGCTGAAAATTGAAGATCTTACACCAGGACTTATTTGCATCAGAGGCAAAGGGGAACCAGACTTTAACTTTCCTGGGGGAAGGGAAGCTGCGAAGAGCAACAGACCTGGAGGGTGGGGCTGCAACTCTCTCACAGTCTAAAGCATGCACAGAGCCAGGCGGCCGTCACCTCTGGAGCTCTGGAGCGGCCCCCCGGCTGAAGGTCTCCCACAGGCTGCATTTAATGCTCACAACCAACTTGCCTTCAAGATGAGTTCCGACGGAACGACAGAACGGAAGGTATTCACATCCGGGTACCAACATCTGTTATCATTAGTTCACGAGGTGGGGGTGGGGGGCTTTAAAGGGCCACTAGAGCCCAAAGGGTACAATGAAAAGTGAAAGTTAAAAATATAAATAAAAGAAAAAGAGAAAGTACTGGAGAGCCCTTCCCTGCCAGGATACCACCATCAAGAGAACAGTAAACTAGGTGCAGGTAGTGCCTTTTTCTTTAAATGAACTCACTAGCATGTCTCCATGGAAACTCGAGACAGAAGGATCTCATTCAGTGAATTGCAAACACTACAGGAGAGTTTTTACATTGCAAAACCAACCTCTGCTTGGCAGGATCAGGCAGCCTGGGCTCCCTTTCCATAGACTGCTTCCTTGGCCAAAGAAATGCTTTGATTGTATTCTCTGCATTGAGCTTCAGGTGCTCAGAGGTATCTGAGTGAGGCACGGTAGGCTTGGTGCTGTGTCCAGAGCCACATGCTGGCAGTGGGCTGGCCAAACTTCTTCTGGCAAATGACAAAACCCAGGGACTAGGTGTAGGGCTGGGGACAGAAGACAGAACTAAACTTCCAGAAGGTTCTTGAGGTCACAGGCAGCAGCTCATTCTTCTTTGGAACCCCCACCACACCTGACACACTGCTGAACTTGGGAAAAGTTGCTTGGAAGGAACCCCGATGACGAATTCTGAGGAGTTCATCTTTAAAAAATTGAGGTGTACACAGAGAAAACAGCACACATGCACAGCCTGGTAAAGTTTCAAAAGGTGGACATCCTTGTGTGATCAGCACCGAGATAAAAACAAGACAATACTGCTAGTACCCAGGCAGCCCTCCTCATTCTCCCTCACAATCCTTTCCCCAAGGACAAGGCTATCATGACTTCTCCCACCATAGATTAGTTTTGCCAGTTTTTGAAGCTCACATTAATGGAATCACACAGGACACTGTCTTTCGTGTCTGGCTGCTGGGCTTTACCACAATGTTTGTGAGACTCATACACCTTGTTGGGTATAGTTACAGTGTGTTCATTGTCACGGCTGTGTAGTATTCCACGAGTGAACATGCCCACTGGCTGCCTTTCACAGAGAGGAACGCAGCAGTGACTAGTTTGCATCTTCCGTCTGAGCTCTTCTTCAGGGACAAAATGTGCCTCCACTCAATGGTGTCCGGTGAATCAAGTTTATAGGTCTCTCCAGTAAAGCGGTTCCCCTGTAGGATTTTAGGCTCAGGCCAAGATCAGCCAGTGAGCTAGAACTCTACTATATATCTATTTAATATAGATACATTATAATTATATGTAAAATACATATTTAAAGACACAGATATTTATATTAGTCATTTTTGTTACTTGTGCTCACAATGTTTTCTATAGCATCTGTGGCTGAGGGGAGAAAATGAAAGTTCTTCCTTTCAAAGCGATCCCCTTTTTATTGTCTAGCCCTTCCCGGTATGCGAAAAATAAGTCCAGGAGAGCCACGCTGCATCCCCAGGGCATTTCATTTTATAAAAAAGCATTACAAAAATTGAAGGACATTAGGAGTTCAAGTGGCTTATCAGGGTCAGAAGGGCAAAGAAGGAGAAGGATTTGTGAAATCCAATCTCCAATTTCTGTTTCTTTCACATGGCATTTTCTCCATTAAAAAAAGAAAGAAAGAAAAGAAACAAAAACCAGGCATATTTAAATCTCTGTGGCTGTCAGGGACCGCAGAAGGCCAGCAAGCCTTGCCCACCCTGGTTGTGGTGTCTCACCCAAGTCTTGGCTTCATTAAACGCTCCGATCGGGGCCACTGCGAACGGGCAGTTGCAGCCCCTGCGGCTGTGCAACATTTCAGCCCTGCCTCGCCCAGGGTAGATGGAGGATGAAAGTCAGATCAAGCCAAATCCTTTTTCAATAAGATTGCAAACCCACAGTACAGAGTGAGAAGGGGTCTGGGCTCTGAGAGTCTGAGTATGAGTGAGGGTGGGAAAGGGCGGGGGCCACATAGAGTTGGAGGGGCTGGCTGGGGGAGGGCGACAGAGGAAGGGTTGTGATGGAGGGAGCACAGAAGACACAGGGGAGAGAAGGAAATAGCAAAACAACATTGGAGACCAAGCTCCGGGAGTCATTTATCCATTTGGCGTTAAAAAAAAAAAAAAAGATTTAAGAATAAAAAATAGATGAGACATTTATCTATGTAATTTACTTTTTGCTACTTGGACCAGCACTAAAGTATAAGGTATTTTCTTATCAATACTTGCAGGAAATCAAGTTTAGATGGCTGATCTTGAAGGCGTATTTCAGTACTGAAGAGAACCTTGATTCCAGAAAGTGCCTTTCTTCTACAGTCTGCAGGCAAATCTTACTGTTTTTTTAAAGTTAGTCCATGTAGGGGGCAGTGAGCAGGGGGTAGAAGTAACCAGGAGAGATGGGACTGCCTGGGTCTGTTCCAAACAAAGCATTAAACAGGCATGTGCCCCACCCCCAAACAAGACAAAATCCTGTAAGGGACCAGGAGCTTTTCAAGAGGAGGCCAAAAGACCACAGGAAGAACGAGGGACATACAGCTTGTCAGAGACACCCACACCAGGCTCCTGATCTCTTCTTTCCAAAGTGGTCCTTTTCTTCAAATCATACCTGCCAAGACCCTTCCACATATTTCCTGAGGATTGTCTCCCACATGCACACAACACGCTGACCAGCTGCCACAGAGAACCACTTATCAGGAGCCCGAAGTGTTCCAGGCATAGTGAGAACTTTTCATGGTATATCTCACTCAATTACAACTTCATAAAGTAGGGACCATGACTATGCCCATCTTCTAGATGTAGAAACTCAGGACCAGGAGGCTTAAGTCATGCCCTGAAGGTCACAGAGCATAGAGGTGGGAGTGCCAGAATGCACATCCACATCTTCCAGCCCCAGAGGCTGGGTCTCAGTCACCAGCCTGCCGTCCAGAGTCTA